GCCACCAGGTCACGGAGCTGGACGTCAACGACATTGTGACGTCGAGGAAGTATGCTTGGCACGCGTAGACGAAGACCTGACAACGAGTTGTCGGAGAATCGAGAGCGCGATAGGCTGCCCGAAGTCGACAGTGAATAGGATCTTGCGGGAGAATTTTCTCCATCCGTTCCACTCCACACGAGTTCAGAAACTCGAGCCAGGATATGCAGGGTAGCGCCTGCACTACTGTCAAGAGTTTCTAGCCTTGTATTACCGGAATGAAAACTTTTTATCCCAAATCCTGTGGACAGACGAAAGTCTGTTTACGAGAGAAGGCATTTTCAATCAGCATAATTTACATAATTATGCTGTTGAAAATCCTCACTCGGTGAGGGAAAAAAGTTTTCAGTCACGGTGGAAAGTGAACGTGTGGGGAGGAATAGTGGGTGACCGAGTCCTACTTTCCCAGCTACCGGATTATGTGAATGTGAGTATTCATCAAGCCCGCATTCGCACACATACGACATCGAGGCGGCAAAATAATCATTTTTTTCCATTTTTGTTTTTCTTCAGGGTCAACGGTACCTCGCATTCATCACGCAGACTCTTCCTGAAATGCTGGACGATGTACCACTTGCAGGTAGACCTCGGTGGTTCCAGCAGGATGGAGCACTCCCTCACTGTGCTCGAGACGTCACCGCCTTTTTAAATGCTCAGTTCCCTGGACGTTGGTTCGGTCGTTATGGCCCACTTCACTGGCCTGCACGGTAAGATTACTCGAGAAAAATAAAGTGTTCCGGAAAATAATTAATTTCCATTGTCATTAGATCCCCGGACTTGACGCCGCTGGACTTCTTCCTGTGGGGCTATCTAAAGGACCAAGTCTACGAGACCGAGCCGGAGACCGTGGAGGAATTGGTGGCTCGACTGCATGCGGCCACTACCAATGTCAGTGCTGAGATGCTCCAACGAGTGAGGATGGATGTCCTTCGAAGGATTCATGCCTGCGTGGCTGCTGGAGGAGGCCATTTCCAGCACCTGCCAGCATGAGCTGCATTCACAATCGGCCCTTCTCAGGGCCATCAAAAATAAAACGTAGCGCAACAAAATGGTTTTGCTCTGGTTTCTTCCTCTTTAGTCATTAGGCCTGTCACCCATCTATCCACTTTCAAACTCCCCATTTTTATCCCCACTCTTCCAAAACAATTTCCAAAACCCAAAGAGGAAATAGATTTTTTATTCCATTGTTTTTCTTTTCATGTCGGTTATTAGGCACGTCATCTATCCTCTCATCTACTCATAAACCCCCCATCTTCATCGCCGTGCGTCCAAAATCATTTCCAAAAGCAAAAAAAGAAATTAAAATTGAAATTATTATTATTTTTTTCTTTTGTTTTTCGTTTTTTCTTATGTCGGTTATGAGCACGTCCTGCACCTATCCTCCCATCGACTCACAAACCTCCAACCATTATCGTCGCGCGTTTAAAATAATTTCCAAAACGCAAAAAAAAATCAAAAGTTGAATTATTGTTTTATTTTTCATTTTTCTTAGGTCGGTCATCGTCATGTCATCTATCAATCCTTCCATCCACTCAAAAACCCCCCATCTTTATCACCGCGCGTCCAAAATCATTTCCAAAAGCGAAAAA